AAAAAAAAAAAAAAAAAAAAAATCGACGAGACGCAAAGTCGAAGAGGAGCGAGACCAGTCGTTCACGAGGACTCTCGAAATTCGCACGAGATTTCGGGAGATGAGAGCGCCGTTGTTCTAAGCAAGGAGAAACTGCATCGCTCCTAATCGCGCACGTGCACGCCCGCCACGCCGTTGCCTCGCGACGGGCTCTGCCGTCGGCGTCGATCTCGCGCGGTGGAGGCTATAACGCGGCAGGTTACCTTTACCTAAACTACGTCGATCCACTTCCGCGTCTTCACGTCCTCGGAATCCGCCTCTGTCGTGAAGTCGTACGGCGTACTCGTCGTGACGGCGCAGTAATGTCCAAACGACATTGTCGTTACAGTCGACGGCACTCGTGGCTCGCGGTGCCCTCGCGAGATCGCGACGCCCCGTCGTCGATTCTCGGCTCCTCGTTGCCACGAAACGCGGCGCGACGCGGGGGTAGAGGCTTCATTACGTCCAATTCCATGCCCTCTCTCGCCGGCACTGCGAGATACGAGTGTCGCGATTACGTGCGTACGAGCCGACGCCGGGGATTACGCGGCGCGTGACGGTAACGCGCGCGTCGTGCACTCTCCTCTTGCTCCTCGCCTCTCTCTTTCTCCTTCTGTGTCTATCTTTCCCTCCTCCTCTTTCTCTGACTCTCTTCCTCTCCTGCCGCTGCACTTGCACTCCCGAAACTTGGAAGCTCGCCGCGATCACAGCGTGCCGGAGAATGAGGTGGCGCGTGTAACAGGTGTAACTAGCCGAATCCTGCCGCTGAGCCGTCGCGCGGAGCAACAGTTTTCCAACTCGGAGAGTCGTCCACGGCGAAGGACGACGACCCTTCGTCGGACCCTCCGCCTTTAGAACTCACTCACTGAACCGACACCTCTGCCGTGCCTACCGGCGTCGCTTGTCTACCCCCGACACCCTCTCCACTTCGGTCAGATCTCTCTCTCTCTCTCTCTCTCTCTCTCTCTCTCTCTCTCTCTCTCTTTCTCTCGTCTGTCCACTACCTCCTTGTCATGCTACCCGACGTGTCGCTGTTGCTGTTACTACTGCTGCTGCTACTGCTGCTGATGATGCGTGCACTCGCGCGTATCGTAGGAATACCGACGAGATTTCGAAGACCGGTTCCACCCTCCGTCACCCTTTCCCGAACGCGCACTGGTCGATCCTCCAAGATCGTAGAAGTCTCGAGAGGAGAGGCAGAGGAACGCGGCGCACACACGCAACTCGTGTCGACCCTCCCCCTCTCGCCTGTTCGCTTGCCCTCCTGCTCCTCCTCCTCCTTGTCCTACTCCTCCACCTCCTCCACTCTCCGTCGAACCTCCACTGTCGGCTCCCTTTTTAGGACCTTTTCGCAGCGGAGAACGAAGATGAGATACGGTAGAGAAAGAAGGAAGGGGCGGTGGGTCGCCGGAGAGGAGGAGGAGGAGGAGGAGGAGGACGGCGAGCGCGCGAGGACGAGAGGGTAGGACGCCTCGAGGAAGGATTCGCGAAAATGTCTCGACCACCAGCGGCAGCTGCGTTTCGAAATGAGGAGCGACGCGAACGAGAGGTGGCGGCGACGGTAGCCAGCAGGAGGAGAGATCGGCGCACGGGGAGAGGGAGGTGGGGGACCGCGAGGAGAGAACGACAGAGGATGCGAGGGGATGCGAGGTCACAAAAGTGGAGGAAGAAGCGTAACGGCGAGTGCACGCAACACCGACGCGTGCGGAAACGTGCGCCTTCCGCGAGTACCGGAGCTCGCCCCTTGACGAACTAACCGAAAGCCGAAGAAGGGGAAGTCAGGGAGGAGGAGGACGCGGAGGAGTACGCCGACGTGGAGGACGAGGAGAACGTGGAGAAAGAGCGGAGGAAGCAACGAGGGCTGGTGGGGTCGCGACGGCAGCGGAGGGGTGGCGGGAAGGAGAGGGTGGCAAAGAGACGAGGGAGGGAGAGGTGGACGGAAGGCCGTAAGAAGAAGAAAAGAAGGTTTCGGGCGGCGGCCGGGATCGCTCGGTTGTCTGTGGTCAAGGCACGCAGCTTGTGCAGTATTCTCTGCGCGTCTGACGCTACCCGCCTGCTACGCGACGCCGACGCCGACCGAGGGGTAAGCGTCGTCGACGTGGAAGGGTGACGCGAAGGGGTCGGGAGCAGCCTGTCTCGCGAGCCTGATTTCGCCACCCTACCCTGCACGGGAAATTGCACGCGCGGCGCCTAATTCTTCCCGCAGCTTCTCACGACGCCAACGAGGACGCGAATCCACCCTCCCGACTCGGGGTTCTTTCCTCAAATCGCGGAATTATTCAACTTGGCGCGCTGCGCAACTTAACGCCGCGTTATTTTTGCATTCGGTCGAGTGTTTAACTTGACCCTCCATTTTTGTATTTCTGTGTTTCTTTTTTTCCTTCTCGTTGCCAAGTCCACTCGCACGAATGAATGAGACAGCCATTACGTCGCAACGCGCGCGAGAAGTCCAATCTTTATATAGACCGAGAGGCACCATTCTCGGAACGAGAAGCAATTATCTATTCGCATAAGATCACTCTCGAATTCTCATCGGCGTTGCGATTATAGAAGACTATGTCATTGAGCAGACACTGAACTGCGTTACGCAACGTGTGGTTGACTCGGTACCGAAGAACCGCGGCTCGTCACCGAAATTGCAAAATAATTGTATTCGAATTACATATCGAATGAGCACGTGCACGCTCGTTGTCTGATTGAGTAACACGTTATTGTGTAACACAGTGCAGTCGTCATATTTGAAGTATGACATCCGACGCGGAAGAGTCATCACTCGGACGGACGGACCATCGTCACAGAGAAACCACGTCCTACCAGCGGTACGCAACCAAAAACTTAAAACCGCACGGGAAACTACTAACGGAATATTATCGGATTTTCCGGCAACGTGGTACCACCCTGTTGAACGTACAGGCGCGAGTAGGAGTCACGCCTGGCATATAGTCAGCCAGGATTCGGCGTTTCGGTTCGCAACAGGTCTCAACCACCAGCGTGTTTTCTCTTTCACTCTCCCACTTGCTCTCTCTCTCACTCTCTCCCTCTCATCCTCTCTTTCTCACCGCATCTCTCTTTCTCTTCTCATCTCTCTCTCTCTTTCTCTCTCTCTCTCTCTCTCTCTCTCTCTCTCTCACACACACACTCGCTCGACCTCCACTTTCGCACACTGATAGAGAACTCACTCCTACACTATGTATCCTCGGCACACATAGAAACTCATGCGAAACGTAGGCAAACGTACATACGAACACACACCCACACATTCTTCCGTTGATATACACAGGACTCTCGTCACGACACATGCACACACTCATCCACCCACGCAACAAGCACGCAGTGGTGACACGCCTCTCTTGTGCGCGCAAACCGCGCTCGCGCGAGCGTTCGGTCGTCGCGCGAGCTGCTGCACACACGCGTGTGCCCAAAGACGTTCTTCTCGCGGGTCACACGCACATACGTACGTACGAACGTACGCACGTACGCACGTACGTACGCACGCATGCACCAACGCAATCCAATCTATCAATGTACGTACGTATCACTCTTACGTACATATGTATGAGACATGACTAGTCGCCTGAAGCGACAAAGAGAACGACTCGACTCTTCACTCACCGACTACGAAGACCATATTCTTTGTCCATCGCAGCAGTTCCCGTCGGATGTGTCTGCGTTCCTGTATGCAGCGGGCATAGGGGCAATCCGCCATTTTTGAAATCACATCTTAGGATGTGTGTGCGCGTGCCGGCCGGGTACGCCTGCCTCGTGTTCCCGCGTGGATGTCCACCCCCTCCACCGCCGGCGCTCCTCCGTCCTCGTCGTCGTCGCCGTTGTCGCCCTCGTCGTCGTCGTCGTCGTCGTCGTCGTCGTCGACGTCCTCTCTCCTCTTCCTCCTCTTTCTTGCACTCCCTCCTACCCCTTGCCACTCCTCCCCTACGGCCCTAGTTTCCCTTCCGTGCCTCTTTCCGATTTCCACCTTCTACCCCTCGTCTACTCCCACCACCTTGTTGTTCCTCTCCTCCTCTTCGTTCACCTTCTCTTCCACCACCGGCGTACCTGTGTCTTTCAGCGCGCCTCGTGAGCGTGAGACGTGCGTGAGGGAAGAAGAGAGTAGCGCGCGTGTACACGTCGCCGCGCTAACGTGCAGCACGCTGCCGGGTGCAACGTCACGCGTGACGTAGCGAGTTGGCAGGAGAGGCTGAAGTCAACGTCGTCGTCGTCGTCGTCGTCGTCGTCGTGGTTGTCGTCGTCGTCGTCGTCGTCGTCGTCGTCGTCGGCGTCGTTGTCGGAAGCCGCCGGTGTAGTGGTAGTAGCGGTTGTAATGGTAGCGGCGGTGGCGGTGGTAGTGGGAGTCCTGTCGTCGTCGTCGTCGTCGTCGTCGTCGCCGTCGTTTCGTCGGCCGTGGCGCGGCGCGGCGCTCCTACACGAGCGTCGGAGGGATGGCGAGTCGACGGTGTCGTTGGCGGTGGCGGTGGCGGCAACGGCGGCAACGGCGGCGAGGTAGGGATGAAGCCGCGGAGGGACGACGACCACGCTACTCCTCCCAGGTAGCGGGACAGGGTTAGGGCACAGAAACGCACAACACACGTGCACGCTTGCGCCCTGAGCGCTACGAGAATGCAGTCTGTCGCCGCCGGCGCGTCCTCTCCCGCTTTCTCTCTCTATCTCGTTACCCCTCTCTCACCCTGCCGTCCTCCCCCCGCTCCTTCCGGCGAAGATGTATGTGCCTTTCGCACAGTGGTCCCCTCTCTCTCTCTCTCTCTCTCTCTCCCTTTCTCTTTCTCTCTCCCTTTTCTTCCGCCAAATTCTCCTACGACGCTCGTTTCGCCGACCTTCCTCGCCGTCCTCTCGCGCGAAGATGCCCGCAGCTCGCCGGTAGAGAACCGTCACCGGTTGCTATCTGAAACAGACAGAAAGAGGCGATCGGTCAGTATCGTCTGAGAATTCACGAGGAGACTCGTGTCTTAGAGATAATACTTTGCTCCTCCGCCGCCATGGCGCGCTATCGCCGAGTACATATGTGATATATATATATATATATATATATATATATATATTTATATATATATACACACACTCTCGATAGAGACTCAAAAAGTTAAACTTCCGCCGTCCTATTTATTCGCGCATCGATAACCTTCGACGCGCGTATTCTATCTACGACCATACATCGTCGCGGCGACGAGACATCCTGAATTCTCGCCGATTCCGTCGCGCACCTGTGTGCAAAAAGCGGAGAGGGCATCCCGAAACAGGAAGGGTACTGCTGCTGCTCGAAATGAAACATTGCCGGTAAGAAGAGCGTCAGAGCCGACGGTGTACGTAGGTAGGTAGGTAGGTAGGTAGGTGGGTGGATGGGTGGATGGGTGGTTGGTGGGGCGGCGTGCACTCTCTCACGCGGTGAGGCGACACGAGCAGAGAGGTAGAGGAGGTAGAGGAGATGCAGGAGGAGGTAGAGGAGGAGGAGGAGGAAGAGGAAGCGGGGGAGACGCAAGGGGTGAGCGCGGGAGGGTGGCTATAGGGGCGGATTCGCGCGTTCTACGCCCGCGAGGGGGCAGGTTGCCTCTGCGAGGTGCAACGGGGGTGAGCGCGGCAAGCGAAGGGAGTGAGAGAGAGAGCGAGCGAGCGAGAGAGAGGAAGATGGAAAGAGAAAGAGGAAGAGCGGGAGAGACAGAGAAAGAACTAGAGAGAGAAAGAGAGAGTGAGAGAGGAGAAAGAAGGAAGAGTGCGCCTAATATGCAACAAGAGAAAAAGAATTGGCGATCAATAGGTAGTAGCTGGTAAGCGTCCTTTCATCCGCCCCCGCGGACACCTCGTCCTTTCCGTTCTCCCTGTCCTCCTCTCGCGACCCACCTCCTCTCGCTCTCGCCTCCTTCCGTCTCGGCAGTCTCCATCCTTGCGCCATCGCCCCTCTTAACCCACCCTCCGCCACTGGCCACCTTCACCCTCTCGTTCACCCCCTACCCCCTTACCGATTCTCTCTTGGGTTCATCGCGAAACTCCGCCACTCCATCGCCTTCGTAGCCGAGACGACCGCTCTAGTGCGCGCCTAAGTTTGTCTCGGCGCCCGAAGACCAAACATCGCCTAATTAGCTGATTATTTCTTTCCTTCTGTTCCGACGCCCTCGATGATTTCATTAAACGCACTCGCTGCACTGCGGTAGGTTTGATGTTTCCGAATATCGTCTATGAAAAATTAACGGAGGATCGATATTAACACGTTTTTTTTATCATTTTTGTGCAAATTACTTAATTCTCGATTAATTTAAAAACCAATATTTATGCAAAAAGTTCATAGACATACATATGCGTAAAAAAAGTTGTAGCTTAGTAAGGCAATCGTACTGGGATGATTATTTGAAGAATTGTTATTAAAGTTTCACTAAGAGAAAAAGAAGAGGAATTAAAACATTTCTGAATCGCTTTCAAACTATACGAATCACTGACGCGTCTCTGTCTGCGCATATTCGTTGAGAGGAAAGTGAAAATTCATTCCGCCCCGAAGGATCAACGATAAAACGAAAAAGGTGCCATCATGAAGGGGCATTTATTCCCCCGGGCCAGTTTGCCCGCGTTTCTAGCGGTCAGTTGACCCAAAGAAATTATACTCGACGTCGCGCACAATAATGAGAAACAAGTACGAGGACACACTGGCTCACGTAACCCCCAACAGCGGTCACGTGACAAGACGAGCGTGCCGAACGCCTCTCTGATCTTTCTTTCGCACAGGTGCAATTTACTTATGCCGGATCGAGCAGAGAACCCGCCCGGTATACACACAGCTCCGATTCCGCCGGCGCGCGCGGAAGGAGGATACTGCATATTTTATATTCGGTCGTGTGCCGAACCCTTCCTCGCGCCCGTCGCCGTAAATTCACGAACCCGGCTCCTACCTGACTTTGATTCGATCGCGTTTCCGAGGAAAGGCCCCGCGTGATTTCGCCGGCGATTTTGCAACATGCCCGACATTACGTAACGACGTAACGACAAACTCGGCGACAAACGGCCACTCTCTATGAGGGTCTACGAATCAATGTGCAAGTGAAATCTACGAATCAGCAAAGTGTCTACGAGAAAAAAAAAATTCGCAAATACATCCTTCGTTATTTATAAATTAGAGAAAAAAATCGATCGGTTTACGAAATGTCACAAAAATATTATTATGCCTATTATATACGTACTAATACATATTATTATTATTATTATGAATATTTCTCTACACTCTTTTTGAAAATTTTATACGAGGAATTACGTGCGCACGATATTTTCAACGTTAAATCGCCTCGTTCACGCATTGCCCTGGCGAATATCGCGAATGCGCGATTCCACACGAGCACAGCTCTCTCTCTCTCTCTCTCTCTCTCTCTCTCTCTCTCTCTCTCTCTCTCTCTCCCTTTCTCGCGTTCAGATATTCGCGTTAACGTTGTACGCGCGGCTGGAATATAAGAAGCAAAGAACACACGCGGGGCACGTCTTCCGTGCCATCGATTTTTCCGCGACGCGACGCGACTCGACGCGACGCGACGCAGGATGCAACAGATCGAGGATGATCGTATGTTGGATGTATGTACGCGGCGCGCAGCGATCGAAGTTGCGCGCGCGAGCACGCGGCCAACGACGTTCCTTAAAAGCATTTGATGCCCGCGATTGATATTCCGCTCGCGTGTGCTCGTCTCTTCGTGGTTCGCAGTCCCGGGGTTAACTCGGCTCGCGATACCGCTGACGGCGTAAGATCGATTTGATGCCCGTCCTAGGTAAGCCTATGCGAACGATATCGATGAAACGCGCCGGGCTTTCGAGCCCGTGCACCACACACACGCTCCGCATTCGCGACGATGTGCATGCATACCGGGTGCCTCAGAGCTCTATCGCTTTCTCTCCCTCCCTCCCTCTCTCTCTCTCTCTCTCTCTCTGCACTCTACCTCTTTCTCTCTCCCGCTCTCCTTTTCCCTCTCCGGCGAGGCGACGTCATTGAACCTTGTCGCGGGCGCGCTTGATGAGGGTAGGTAGTCTCCGACTAGGAGCTTCCGCTACCTTGGCAATTAGTTGGTCCCATTACTTACGAGCGCGCGAACATACGACCGCAACTTTCGTCAATTGCATCGTCAAGCCTGTTCCTGCCTGCGGCCACACGCTGCTGTCTTCGCGCGCTCTACGCGATACGCCACGCGTTACGCTTTCGCCACGGTGTATGTACGATGTGTGCGCTCGAGTTTCTTACGGCGTCATTGAACCCTCCCCCGAACGTCGGCACGGTCGATGATGCGGTCTCGGAATTAGGCATCGTCATTCGTCATATAATATGCCGGGGGATTTCACGAGAGGTCTGGATTAGACGTCTCACGATCGAGTCGAGATTGTTCCAAAGGGGAACGCGACGTAATGTGAATGTTTCATCGGAATTTGCAATTTTGCAGAATGAAATCGACGTTGGAGTGATAAAAGTTGGAATAGTGGAAGTTGGTGCTGTTTGGCGAAGATAAAAAGACCAACATTCGCATTTGCGCATTCCGCGCGCCGTACGCGTAATACTTCCGCGAGAAGTCTTTTTCTGGATTCACTAATTCAAAATGAATGACGAAAATAATTTGACAGCGTCGGAGGCATCCCCGGAAAATGATCATCGGGAGCATTCTTCGTTCTTTCGTCTTCAATATCCTTGAATACGTTACATTTCGATCGCTATATATTTATAGATCCTTCAACTCGCGATACAGCGCGATCGGGCCTCAGCCAGCTGAGCGAATGAGAGCAAATACACACCTACAAGTATACACACACACAGCCTATGATTCACTCGCATAGACTCGCGCACCCCTCTGCCCCGATGCGGCGTTACCCTCGCGACTCCCGATGCTAGATTTCGCGCCTCCGCTGAACTGCCGACGATTCGGACCAGCAGATCGATTCAAGTCCACGATTGTGGATCTGAAATATATTACAGGTATTCTCACGTCGCTGAAATCTTATCAGAAATGCAGACAACGAGCGGATTAACTCGCGTGTAATCAATTAAAGAGCAATTAAGAGAATCGCCTTGTAATCCGACGTTAAAGCCGAGCGGACGTGAAACTCTATTAAGAATCAGCCACGTGTGGACAAATTTGTGCATACATATTACATCGTTATTGAAGTTTCGCGACCTTCGCGCGACAGAAGGTCCGTTGTCGAAGGGGTGCTCGCGCTACTGACGTTCGTGCTCAGAGACTCAAAAAGCTCTCTGTATGATATCGATCGCGAGCGCCTCGCGATGAATACTCAAATTCGGACAGAACGGAGAGAGAAAGAAAAAGAGAAAACGTGTTATTTATTTACATCGCTTTGAGTTACATCCTACAAGCGCAACGATAAAGATTACAATATTGACACAGATGCAATAGATAGAGTGGCATTTAAAATTATTTCGTGTATAGTACGAGTTGACTCAGGTTAACACCATCTCTAACGAAACAACATAAACTTGACGAGAAATGATGATAATACGCCAAATAAAAGTGATAGAATAGTAACTTGCCTTAGTAACTTGAAACATTTATCGTATAAATGAGAGAGACAGTATTAAATATGAATGTAATGTTAAATCATATTAGAGACATCTAACATCTGACAGCTATCAGAGAAGGAAAGAGAGAGAGAGAGAGAGAGAGAGAGAGAGAGAGAGAGAGAGAGAAGATTACGAATCAAAGATGCTAGAAAAAGTTTCCTGGCGAGTATAAGCAACAACAACAGGTTGAGTGACTCATGTGATCGGACCAGAGTGGAGCAGAGCGGAGCGGAGCATCGATCATTCCGCGAACGTTCCGATAACGACAATCGTCGATATCCTTATTGCTCGTTGCGCCGTGTTGCACGTGCACACGTGTTCGCGGCGCGATCGACGTCATCGCGATGTTAGCTGTT